TTACAAGGCCGACCTCAATGCACTGTTTAATTGGGCAACTATGTGGCAAATGAGGTTTAATGTTGATAAATGTAAGGTTATGTACTTGGGGGCTAAGAATATGTATGCATCATACATACTGGGGGGGTACAAATGGGGGAACCAATGGTGGAGAAGGATCTGGGAGTTCTGGTAGATCACAAGCTTAATAATGGCATACAATGACAAGCTGTGGGTTCTAAAGCGAGCAAAATCCTCTCTTGTATTAAAAGAGGTATAGACTCCAGAGAGAGATATCATTGTACCCCTGTACAAATCATTAGTAAGACCTCATCCAGAATATGCAGTTCAGTTTTGGGCACCAATTCACAAAAAGAACATTGGGGAACTGGAGAAAGTACAGAGAAGGGCAACCAAACTGATAAGAGGCATGGAGGAGCTCAGCTATGAGGAAAGATCAGAGGAACTGAATTTATTCTCTCTTGAGAAGAGGAGATTAAGGGGGGATATGATCAACATGTATAAATACATCAGTGGTTCATATAGTGAACTCGGTGTAGAGCTATTCACCCTGAGGTCATCACAGAGGACAAGGGGGCACTCTTTACGTCTGGAGGAAAAGAAATTTAATCGCCAAACACGGAAAGATTTCTTCACAGTGAGCTGTGAAAATGTGGAATAGGTTCCCTCAAGAGTTGGTTCTGGCCAGCTCAGTGGATTGCTTCAAAAAAGGCCTGGATTCTTTCTTGGATACACAGAATATAACTGGATATAACATTTATAGGTAACGTTGATCCAGGAAATATCCGATTGCTCTCGGGGGATCAGGAAGAATTTTTTTTCCCAGCAGGTGCAAATTGGATCGTGCTTTGCTGGGGATTTTTTTTTGCCTTCCTCTGGATCAACTGTGGGCGTAGGATTATAACTTTTTTTTTTCTATGGTTGAATTGGATAGACTTTTGTCTTTTTTCATCCAGACTATGTAACTAATTCAGCCACCTAATGACATCAGCAAAGTTTTCCAAAATACATAGCAGGTAGATTTCAACAATTAGGGCTTCACACTAGCAGTTGAGGGGCAGTAAATGCCCCCCCCCACCCTCCGACCCCCAAACTTCTCCCCTTTAGCCAGGGGTTTACACATGCCGTGGTTGCAGTACTTTGCTTTGTGGCAGGAATTACACCCTGTCGCTTTCAAACAAATAGGGCAGCTCTGCACATAATTGTAGTTTCAAGGGGTCAAAGCGAATGGCAAGACGGCAATATAACACCTCCTCAATGCCTGTCAAAAGCTCTCTAAATGGTAATTTGAATGTAGATTGCTCTTCAGAGACCAAAGCAAAAGTGAACAAGCCATTAGGACCAAATCTAGTTAGGTCTCCTTTTTGGAACTACAGTGGTATGAATTTATAGTTTCCTGGTCTGCTGTCTTAAAAGGATTGCAACTGTTCACAGAACAAAAAAGTGCACCATTAGAATTAATTTAAAAATGACAGCCTTGACCAGGTTAAACTCAAGCTATAAATTTTGGATGGATAGATGTGAATGGAACTGTAAATTTCCACCACGAGATCTTAAAGCTGGAGTCCCAGGATGAAATATGTAAAAAATGTAAAATTTTAACAGACTCTCTTCTAAAGTGACACTAAATATTATCCTTATGCTGCAAAAAAAAATCCAAACACATCCACTACCTAATGGCCCTCTAACCTATTTTTCATGAAAAAAAAAAAAAATTCTGCCTCCTTGTAACATCCTCTGTGAGCTCCCGTACCTCTTCTTTTCCCTTCTCCACAACTGTTTGTTTAGAACTAGCAGTGCACGTTAGCTGGTCATGTGCACTGCTCTATGCACACTACAAATCTCATAGTCCATGTCAGGAGCAAACAAAAGAAGGTGGCTACATTGCTTCATACAGTGGGACCACTGAGAGCGAATGCGGTCACCCCCCCCCAACGGGAAATCGAAATCACAGTGGCAAAAAAGGGATTTAGATGAGGTTGAGGTTAAACACTTCCTGTCCGGACACTTTTACCCCCTTCCTGTCCAGGCCAATTTTCAGCTTTCAGCGCTGTCACATTTTGAATGACAATTGCACGGTCATGCAACACTGTACCTATATGAATTTTTTAGCATTTTTTTTTAGACAGATAAAAACTTTATTTTGGTGGTATTTATTCACCACTGGGATTTTTTTTTTGTATATAAATAAAAACATCCAAAAATTTAGAAAAGTGTTTTTCTTATAAAATTTGGCAAATAATCTTTCTTCATAAATCTTGCCCAAAATTTATTCAGTTATCTGTTTAGTAAAAAAAAAACCCAAATTAGTTTATAACCAAAAATTATAATTTTTCAAAAAAAGTTTTACATTTTTTTTTATTTTTTTAATTTTTTTTTTTTTTACATACTGTCACCCTAGCAGTACAGTGTCACCATAGTGACACTACTACTTGTGGGGGGTGATGAAGATTTTTTTTTTTTTTTTACACGGATTGCTTTTACACCCATAAAGGCTGTAAAAGCAACCATTTCTCCTTCTCTCTGGCTGCATTCTGGCAGCCATTGAGAAATACTGTGTGAGCTGTGATTGGCCACAGCTTGTCACATGGTACAAGGCTGTTGTGAATAGCCTTGTACCATGTGATCTCTTTGATCATTCACAGATTTCACACGTAGTAAGCAATGATGTCAGAAAGTGACATCTTGCTTACTACTATTCCTGTGATCACTGATTCCAGTGCATTCCAGTTGCAAAAAAATAAAGTAGAACATGCTGCATTTTTTCTGCACAGAGCTGTACTGGAACGCAGTAAAACGCGTCAAAAACACACCGGAAAGCACATGTCCCTATTTAAATTGAAAAAAAGGGGAAAATGAACTGCAATGCATAAAAACGCACTGGAAGGCGGCAAAAAGGTTTCAGGAACACACCTGGACTACACTGCTATGTGAACCGGCCCTAAAGCAAACTTAACCTCAACTGTTAACCTAAAGCACATCTATAGCCAAAACATTTTTTTTTCTTTTAAACTTGGCTGCTTAACACTCTACAAAACCAGAAACATGGCTTTAAAGCTATGTTATCTTCCAAAGATGGGCAAGACTTATAACAAGGGTGAAATACATTTCCTAAAAGAATGCTACCTATGGGAAACGTATGAAGTCCTACGCATTAGGTCACACGATCTGTAAAGAAAAAATCCAGGCAAAATTATAATTTTCCCATGCACTGGGGCTGTGCCCGCACTGCATGGGTTAAATGCTCATTTTGTCTAGAGGCTCAGGAAGTAAAGATATACTTCCCTAATATGTGCAGATGAATGCTCAAGACCGGTCCCTGGCGCTCCTCTCCCCCACTGCATGGGAAAATACATCTTTTAACCGGAGTTCTGCTTTAACAAACAGTTCACCAATTCAAACTCTGATCCTTTATGTTAACAGAGGTCACAGCATACACTGGATCAGCCTTCAGATATTGGCCAGCAATGAAGGAAATCTAAATCCATTTTGCAGGACAAGTAAATATTTTAACTCATGTTAATTTTTACTTACCCAATCTAGCAAAACCATTAAAACAGCTTTAAAGTCCACTTCCACTTTTGCAGTCAAATTTGAGAAACTCTTACTAAATGTTTATTATGCGTTTCCATTCACACAACATACCAACAATAATGAAAAAAAAACAAAATCTTACCTTTCTAGTTGTGTCTTTGGAGCAAGTTTATTTTTAGGACTGCTATTCTGAATAATTTCAAAAGTGCAATTAGAGAACCTACAACACATGCCTTTTGGTGTATAATCTTTTGTTGGGACAGTGCTCAAATCTGGTTTACAAACTGATGAGATTGGTCAGCACAGTACAGACAAGGTTAATTACATGTAACAGAGTTACAATAAGTCTAGGTTCACCCTAGTGCAGCTGCAATTTGATGTGATTTTCAGCACAATTGCATTTTTAAGGTGTTTTTGATACTACTGTGTTTTTTTAGTAGGGAAAAGACTGGATCCTGGTTGTTAAGGAGCCTTAACAACCTGCAAAAACACATCAAAAACAGATCAGACTGATTGAATATACAACAATCCATGTACGGTCAGCCTTACAAAGCCCTATTGCTGTCAGTGATGCTCAAAATCCTCATTTAATCTGCTTTACAAGCACTTGCTACAGTGTCAGCAGCATGCCATTTCCCTGGACCAAGACAACAGTGGACCATTTTTGGTAAACTTATGCTGATGGATTGTAGTTACCCCCAGGGATGCATGTGATAGCGTGACAACACATTAACACAATTGGAGAACAATTTGTCACCCTATATCAGGAGATGCCTGAACAGGAACATGGCACGATTACCAGACCTTACATCCTCAGATAACTCTGTCAACCAGCCAATTTCTAACCAAAAACAATTTTACTGGGTGGCCATTATGGCCTCTGGGCCTGAGGAAAAGGGTGGGCAACTGTGCTGCAGACAACGCTGATTTATCAGGGTAAAGACAGTTACCTGACGGATTTCAAACTGATCTGAAGGCATTACCCCCAATGAGCCAGTGTCTGCAAGTGTCCTACTGACATTAGATGGCTCCATAATCTGGATGACTTTTAGGGGTTGATTTACTAAAACTGGGGAGTACAAAACCCAGTGCAGCTGTATATGGTAGCCAATCAGCTTCCATCTTCAGCTTGTTCAATTAAGCTTTGACAAAAAAAAAAAAAAAAAAAAAATGGAATCCGATTTCTGGTTTTTCTGCAGAGCTGCACCAGATTTTGCACTCTCCAGTTCTAGAAAAACAACCCCTTATTGCCTATGTGCACATTTAACCTGAAGAGACCATAGGCTTCATTTACAAAGGGAAGGCTGATCACTCAATTCTCATACAACACATCCAAGCATAAGAGGAGTAGCCAGCCTGATCTGACACTGCTTGTCATTAAAAACGCTAAACCAAAGACTAAACAAATAAAAATGATAAAAGGATACATCAGAACAACCAAAAGGAGATGAAAAGAGGAAACAAACCTTTTTATTCAGCTTTAGCCACGTTGAATAACCTTTGCTGTCCACGTACTGAAGCCCGAAGAACCAGACTTCACGTAGACCAACCGTCTTCACCACCTACGAAGGAGATCAAAACACCACTAATAAAGACAACATTTCTGTTATAGGAATCTTACGCAATGGAAACGTGTGGCTCAGCAAACCACTAGACTAATGATATACCCATTAGTCCTGTGCTATTCTGTGACAATAACATTGCAGAATACACATTTCATACCAATCCAAATCCTGACTGATGTATACTTTACCTTAAATTACTTTCCAAATGGTTATTGATGCCTGGATGAGTTATTATAATGCAAGACTGTGCTGGGCTTCACAGGTTGCTAAATATAACAAGGTACCCCATAAATTGATCTTTTTTTGTTCCACCAGCGGGATAAACAAAAAAAAAAACAAACAAACAAAAAAAAAAAGGATCCAATTCCCCCATCCACACAGAGGAAGAGGGAATCCTTCCACGCTGTGGTACTGTATGCTGACAGGGGGAAGCCTAACCCTCTGTAAGAATAAAATAATCAGTGTTACCAGCTATAGCTGGCAGCACTGATCGCTCAGGAAAAACTCAACAGGCTGACTGTACACAAGTCAAATCGATAGATCGACTTGTGTTAGACCAGCCTGCCCATACATGGACTGACATTCGACTGGTTCCTGCCGAATTTCGATCCATGTATGGCCAGCTTAAGTTGCTTGTCTGGCTACAGTAATACTTTTGACTTGTGTATGTAAATAAGGCAGAACTCTGTTCTGACAGGTGGGGAAGTGAAGGATCGTGTGTCCTTGCAAAGCTGGGAACACAATCCTTCACTTCCCCTAGTACAAGCACCACCTAGTGTACACCAAGCAGATAGCTAGGCACACTTTTAACCCTATATTTTGCCCTGGATGTTAACCCCTTCCCAACCAGTGTTAGTACAGTGATTAGTGCATATTTTTAGCACCGATCAAATGTATGAGTTTCAATGGATCCCCCAAAGTGTCAGTATAAAAATGTCAGCCACAATATCGCAGTCCTGCTATAAGATGCTGATCGCCGCCATTACTAGTATAAAAAAAAATCCACTTTTAAAAAATTCCAGTATATGTCCCAAGCACAAAACAAGGATGGCTCTCTGGGTACAGAGGGCTCTGCTGTGAGAATAAAAGGACAGAAGTTTGATCCAGGTATTCCAATCTGCAAAAAGGGTACAGCTATGATTTCTGGAGGCTGAACATCCAATCGACGCTCTGCAGAACATTTACCATCTTGCTGGATGCTGGCGGTCAGGGAGAGGGAGGACAGGTCCTTTAACAGGAGATTGTCCAGGTACCCCACAGCATGAATCCCTTGAGAACAGGGAGGCCAGAACCATGTGCTTGTACCTTGGTGAAAACCTGGGAGGGTGTGGACAGCCCCAAAGACAGGAGACAAACTTGTAACGCTGATCGAACAGAAAACACAGAGAACAATGAGGCAGAAAAATGGATATGTGTAGATAGGCATTCTGGATATCTATTTGGCCAGAACATTCCCCAGAAAGAGGCAAGTAATGACCCATCTGGCATTTTCTATGAAAATGTAGGGACAAATTGAGAGTTTTCAGATCCAGCATTGGCCAAACAATTCCATTTAACCTTGAAAGCATTCTCCTGCTGGTAAAGGGATAATGATCCATTGATCGAAGAACTGATTCAAAGCAGCAAAATGGATCCATCTGCCGAGATGGGGAATGAGAGAAGTGGGAGAGCATGCACCATGGTGAAGGCATAGTGTACAGCTCCAATTTATAGCCTCTGGAAACAACACTCTGGACCCAGCTGTATGATATTCTCAGGGGCAACAAGGCTGAAAAGGCCGACAGACATGCCGTCACTTTGAGAAGTGGGGGCACACCATCACTGTAAGGAGGCCTTGACAGGTCTGCAAGGCCAGGTCTTCTAATGAAAATACATTCCCATTTCAGACTAAGCAGTGGAAGACCGAGGAAAAAAAGGTTGCTTAGAAGGCCTACTAGCAGGTGCACAAGCATTTTTCTTCTAGGAGATAAGAATACCCTTACTCCCTCCTAGATTGTAAGCTCGAAAGAGCAGGGCCCTTGATCCCCTCATGTTTTGCATTGTATTGTTTGTTCTGTCACATGTTCTGTCCCCCTTTGTAATGTACAGCGCTGAGCGAACTATTGGCGCTTTATAAATACTGTATAATAATAATACTCCCCCATAACTTCCTTAATATACTTATCCAAGGAGGGCCCAAACAGACTTTCGCCTTCAAAGGGAAACCACTCAATGAGTCTCCTGCAAGGGACTTCTGCTGGGCAGAGTTTAAGCGACAGAATCTTGTACATGTGTTGAAAGAGAAGGCAAATTTTGGAAATGTATTATCCATCAGGCTATTTACACAGTAGAGTAAAGCGGAAGGCAAAAAGTCCAGCTGACTATGAACAAAGGGATACATATACATGGATCTGGGGTTCCAGGCCATACACTTAGTCTAGACAGCAATGGTCTGACAGACTTCCATTGACACAACTACAGTTTGCATGGCAGGACTCACCAAGGCAAAGACCTCTTTAAGGAAAGCCTCCAACCTATAGATGGTTGAACATAGGCTTATCCTCCACAGGGTCCATGAGGGTCATGGGATATTGGTGTTCAAAAAGTTTGGGAGGAGCAAAGTTGTTTTCTGTGCGAGGCCAGTCTCCATACAGAACTGGCTCAACAAGCGTCTGGACAAGAAAGTCATAGCTGGTGTGGGGTACTTTAGACACTTGATACCTTTAGCCAATATAACCTTAAACAACATACAGCTCCAATAAGTGAAGGAATAATCTCTTTGAGCCTGGGAGAAATATCTGTAATAGTATCCTCCTGATCTGATGCCTCAGAAGGTAGGGCTTCTTCTGTAACTGGCTCTAGAACAAAGTCAAAGACTGAATCATGAGGGGAGGTTGAAGGGGCACAGCTGTGACCCTTGCTGTCTATGGCGGCAACAAGGTCCAAAATTCTGCCTGTGAACTCTAACATTGTGGCAGAAAATTCCTCTCAAGATAGCAAAGATGAGGCTGGTGAAGCAGACAACCAGGCTGAATGGCTAGAGGAAGGAAGGGATTCAGAATAGGGGCATCCATCAGAATAGAGGGTACTAGGGCCCTACACAGATGCAATACAACCCCCAATGGAGCCTGTCCATCCCCCTATACCTGCATTTATGGTCCTACATGCCCATGAATAAAATGTCCTCAGAGGGGTACTCACAACCTCTGTTCAACTGGAGTAGGGGGGAGGGTGCCTAGGTGCAAGCACCTGTGGGCCACTAACTCAGGATTGTAACTGCGAGTGTAATCCACTGCAACGTATCCTCAGACAGGAGAAGTATATGTTGCTCTGCCAGCGTTGCAAATCCAAAGAGAGAGAGAGGCAGGTCACGCATGCACAGTAATCTCTCGAGGACGGAGCAGCACAGACACCCCCTACAGTGCAAGGAATGCTTGGTTTGAATGTTTAAGGGGCTTCTGTACTGTACTCACCATGTTAGTTACAGGAATAAGGGAAAATTAACCCCTCCTGGCTTTTTCCTCCAAGATAGGCATACCTTCCACAAGACATCTTCAAAAACTGGGCTCTGACCCAGACAGACCACAACTCTAAATTTGTTAAGCACCCTGAAACTAATGTTATGTGTTGTACTGTGTGCCAAGGGGTGCACCCACAGCAGGATTCAGTGCAAACCAACATTCCAGGTTGACCCGCCGCATCCTAAAAGGGACCTTGGGGTCCCAAGGCTCTATCACTGTGATCTTCAATCCAGAAGCCACATTAAAAAGGAGAAGTATAGCCAAAGCTTCATGGGCTGTACTTCTCCTAAGGGTCACAGGAGTGCAGTTTGTTCTGCACTCCTGTGACCAGTATTCAGCCGACAACAGTCCAGGCTCTGAAAAGACCCATAGCTAATTCAGCCTCTCAGCGAGCCGCTGAGAGCCTGAGCAAGCTGCTCTTGCCCCCTCCACAGCCCAGTGCTCCAGTGAGCTCTAAAAGGGCATAGCAGAGAGCCGGTGACTGACAGTCTCCGTCACTCTGCTCTTAGTCTATGATCACTCAGTTTTCAGTCCTAGAAGCAGCGAAGGACAGATACAGAGCAATTCTGCATCCACCAAGGTGAGTATAACTTTTTTTAATGAAACCTATTTCTCTTTTAAGAGCTGCAGGGGCTTTTGTGCAGCCAAGTGATGAGGAATCATCTTGGAAGGAAATATAAAAGTGAGAAAAACTTCCATAGAATGTAGGCTTCTTGAGAAAAAAAAGTTGGAAGGATTATAGAGGGGAATATCCCTGAAGCATTTTTGCCAGTGTCTAATCACCTGAAGGTTGGAATGACACAGTTATAATGATTTAAAGAAGCCTATGTCCTGTACTGTATGATCTAGAAATCATTTTATATAAATGCAAAGATGTTTGGCTTTAAAATAAAGAAGAAAAAAAAAAACTTGGCTTTTTTTTTTTTTTTTTTAAATACAGTCATATATAAGGCAGTCCTATTTCAAGATGTGGTTGCTTTAAAACAAAACAATATGGGTAGAATACCATGTAACCAATATCAACCTAGCTGTTATTAATAAGAATACTATCTATACTTTTCTGACAGAAAGAAACAATTATACTGAAAATGGTACAGTAATATATTCACAAAGAGGTGTCCACATCAATACATGTACCTGGTCAAAGAGCTGCTTGCCAGTTGTGTTCGGCTGAATGGCAAATTCCAGCTCCGCATCCATAGTGGTCACTCGAACATTAATCTATATTAAGGCAAAAAGTAAAATAAGTGATCCACAACATATAATTCAGGCATAAATATACAACAAACCCTTACAGCACATTTATGAACATAGCCAGTGGTACAGAAAAGAAGCAGACACCAAAGCCTTAAGGCTGACTTTGAACCAGTTCTCTTCATGTTTTCACATTTACCTAGGATAACATTAACATGTTGTGATTGATGTATTGTTAGCAGATGTCAAGTGAAATTTGGAAACATCAAAACTGAAATGGATTCTGATGCTATCAGGCAACTTAGAACACAATACAATATGAGGTAGAAAAATTTAACAGAAATCAGAATGGAAATGAGCTGCAAATATGAGATACGAAAACTGTCCCTGAACACTGCCTTCTGGACAAAGACAACTTTGCCACCACAAAACATGGTCTTCTGTCACTGCACACCAGAGAGGAGATGGCTGCTCTAAGCAAAAGCTAGAGGACAATGCGCAGAATATTTGTCCCATCTCATACCTTCTGAGCAAGCAATGAAGGCCAAAGTCAAACCACAGTATGGCCATTATCTTCAGAAACTAGTTTCAAATATAAACAAACTACTTAAAGTGGTTATAAAGCCTAAACATGTTTTACCTTAATTAATTCCTTGCATTAAGGTAAAAAAAAAAATTTTAGGCATCACTATCGCTTCCTCATCCCCTTTCATCTCTTCTCTTCCTTCAATTCCTGGTCTCTTTGGCTTTGTTTACGCAGTGGGAGCCATTGGCTCTCACAGCTGTCAATCAAAGCCAGTGACAAGGGAGCAGGCAGAGTCCAACTGTCTGTCAAAAAAACACAGACAACGAGGCTCGAAAGTGAGACTGCATGAGTGCCCTCATAGCAAGTGGCGGTGGGGGAGCCAGGAATGGGGAGAAAAGGAGTTTCAGGGCAGCTCTGTGCAATTCCATTTCAGGGAGTAAAAAAAACAGTTTTTGTTTTTTTTTTGTTTGTTTTTTAAGCATTTACAATCACTTTAACCAGTTTCCCTAAGTCCTATAGCAGTTTTACTGCTCCAGGGTGGCTCTTCTGTGCAAAATCACGCATATATACATGATTCTGCACTTTTGCCTCACGGGGGCGAGCACATGCTGGTGGTGGATCGATTCTGCTGTAAACTGTCACAGCAGAAGTCGATCTGCAAGTTCAGGCAAATGGATCTTCACTGGTACCTGCAGATCGTTGGGCAGGGAGGAAGAACACAGCTATGCCTATGTTTATATAGACACAGCTGTGTAGTGACAGAAGAAAGTGATCCATCATGCATCCCTGCAGAGCTGCTGGGAACACAGTCCATCACTTCCTTGTACCAGCACCATCTAGTGTACACCAAGTACATAGCAAGGCATAGAGCACACCCTTTGATCAGCCTAGATGTTAAACCCTTCCCAACCAACCAGTGTCATTAGTACAATGCTCAGTGTATATTTTTAGCACTTATCACTGTATTAGCATCACTGGTTCCCACAAAGTGTCAGTTAGTTTAACAACGTCTGCTGCAATATTGCAGTCCCTCTATAAGACACTGATCGCCGCCATTACTAGTATAAACTACTTAAATAAATACAATTCCAGTAAACGTCCCATAGTTTGTAGACGCTAAACCAATCAATATACGCTTATTGGGATTTTTTTAATAAAAAATATGTAGAATAGAAATACATTTTTAAAGACATATGATTTTTACTTTTTTTTTTTTTATTGGATATGTTTTATAGTAGAAAACAAAAAATATTGGGGTTTTTTTTTTCAAAATTGTCAGTCTTTTTTTGTTTATAATGCAAAAAGTAAAAAAAAGCAGAAGTGATCAAATACCACCAAAAGAAAACTATTTGTGGGAAGAAGGACATACATTTCATTTTGGCACAGTGTTGCATGACTGTGCAACTGTCAAAGTAATGCAGCGCCATATCGCAAAAAATGGCCTGATCAGGAAGGGGGGTAAATCTTCTGGAGGGCAAAACATCTCTTAAATCTGGGTCTTAAAAGCCAGGTACACATTTTCCAAGTTTAGAACGGTTCTGTAGCCGCAGTAGGAGATTCCTCCATCCATGCTGTGTAAGCCTGCAGGTTAAATTAATATAATCTGTGTGTGTATAAACAGCTGAACACAGAGGATACAGTCTAATTGTTCTACCTTTCATCTGGCCTTAGTCTTATTCAGCAAGCTGTCTTTTTAGCGAATTCTGGCTATACACTAGTAGGTTTACAGCAAGCGTCTGTACAAATACTCGTATGAAATTTGTCATTAAAAAAAGTCTGTACATCAGTACGTTCAATGACATGACAAAAAGGTCTTTAGAAAGTAATTAAACATTTTGTTTGCTTCTAATATTTGATTTTGGAATTAATAATTTCCCAAATAAAAACACTGATAACTTTGAGGTCCAAAACAAATGTCAATTTGACCCCATTAATGATTCCAAAATTGGACATTTCTGAAAGTAAAAAGATTTTAAACCAAATTCCTCTAGTGTATGGCCAGCGTAAATCTCTCTAGCTGGCAGTTATTTTGGAAGGATCCATACACAGAGCTGAGGAAATGAAGCCCAAATACTTTGCTTCCAGGACTGTCACCTTTAAGCCCATTGCAGCTCCATCCACGCACATCTGTGCAGGAAAGAGTTTTCTACAGCACAAAAACCTGACAAAGAACTGCAGTCCAATCCAGAAGCCATGTAAAAAATTGGCTATTCTTTTAACCCCTTAACACCAAGCATGTGCATGTGTGTGACCTCACAGAAGTGAGTATAAATCCTGTAAGGCTGCATAAATTTGTGCCTGTGTTTGAGCTGCAAGCACGCTGCACAGTTCTCTCCCAGCAGAGATCTGAGAACCGTGGGTCCTGTACAAATGGTTCCTGATCACCTGATCGCTGTGATAGCCTCTGACTGGCTATCACAGTGATCAGTCACTGTTCAGCCCAACCCTGTTTTCTACTCTTGAATTGAGAAAGAAATACATTGAATCTTTTTCTCCTTCTTAACATGTAAACAAAGAAATGTGTGAAATAAAATGAAGAAAATACAAAACTAAAAGAAAAAAATAGCTAGCTGAGAGTGTGATCTAGGCCAAGGTCAAAGTTCAGGGTCAGAATATTTTAGGTAGGATTTTTTTTTATTTTATCAGTGTATTTTAGGTGTGATAAGAAAAGAAAAATGGTGGTAGGTTATGGTAATAGTAAGAAATATACAGCTAAAACTTAAAAAAAAAATATATTTTTTTTTACTATTTTGTGGCAGTTTTCCTTTGATAATAAACCCCTAAAAAAATAATTTACCATCAAATGAAAGCCCAATTAGTCCTGAAAAAAGGTATAAATTTACCTGGATACACCAAGTAGCTGAAACGATTTGTACATTTTTACTAACGTGTCAAAGTTGCAAAATGCTGTTCAGGAGTTAAAGTGATGCTAGACACACACTGTTTAATTTACATTATCCATCTATATGTGGATGATGGCACTGTAATAATTTTAACAAAAAAAAAAAAAAAACCTAAATATCTTTTTTTCCTACTTCATTTACAGCTGTCACGTGACCCAGTTGCAGGGAAACAGCTGCAGGAAGAGCTTCTAGTCCTCTGCTGCTAATCACATGTTCAAAACAAGAGAGAAAAAAATGCAATAACATGGTGTGGGTGGATTTCTGCCAGTCATAAGCTATGTCACACCTTCCAGCCTGTGACTATGGTGTGTATGTGCTTAGAACAACAGGAAGGTGATTCCTCCATCAATCAAGATGTAATATCCCACACCCATTGTGTTTAGCTGATAAGTGGGCATGGAGTAGGGAGGAGGGAGTGTGCTGTCATTTACCACTGTGTATATGCCCACATGTGTGATTCTATAGTTACATGGCCTGTTCAGATGTGATCAGGGAGAAAATGTCAGCATAGAAATACACTGAAAACAGAACATGTGCAGAAGCAGTCAACAGTTTCTCTGCAGAATCCTCAGCTGCAACGGGGACATGGACAAGAAGGACAGACAGGGAACAGCACGATCAAAGGTTTTTTTTTTTGCAGAATACAGAAAATGAATCCCATAGTGGTTTAGTGAGTATGAACAGCATGTAATACAGAATTTATTGATATTTTTATTTATGTGTATTTAATGACTCAAGATTTGTTTTATCCTCCATCAAGAAGAGGTTAAATAAATGCAAGATTAATCCATCTGTGGCTATTTTTTATGGTCTGTATGACCCAATAAGAAATGGTTCTAACTTTGATAGCTTTTTTTACTGCTGCCTGTGTTCTTGTTGGGGGCCCACCCTGACATTCTGTGTATCACAAGAACAGGACATGGGGGGAAAAAGTAATAGCACAATAGGAGGGGAAATGGAAGATTCATCCATCCATCCATACTGTAGAGTGTGGATGGAGCAATTTTTTTTTTTTTTTTTTTCAGGCTGAATGAAAAAAAAAAAAAAAAACCAAATCTAAGGGTATGGTCAGTTTTATGGGTTTTTATTACCATCCCTAGTGGAGAGACTTCTTTCTTACTGTGCAAAATCACATCTGCAAGAAAACGTAAAGATGGAATATTTTGTCTATGGAACATATAGTTTTGAAAAGTAGATGTTCAAATCCATCCCCAGATAGGTGGGGAAAGGTTAGAAATTCACGTGGCCTGCGGCTCCACTGGATAGCTTTCCTCACTCTACAAAAATTAATTAATTAAGTTTTATTTCTAGGTGAGTCCCTTTTGGAGAAATTTCAATTACATTTTTATCACAGTAGAAAAGGAAGTGAGGTCAACTCTCCCCAATGACTGATGAAAACTAGAATAAAACCTGAAAGAGGTTGTAACCATTCCCATCTCTGCCTAATCCAAAAAAAAAATAGCTAGACTTTCACTTTAAATACTGGAGTGTCAGTTTGTGAAACCTAAAAAAAAGAAGATATCCAATTCCTCCTGTTTTGCATGTTCATCTGCAGCCTTTTTTTCAAAAGGTGTTAATCACTCTCATTAAACAAATGAC